CACGGAATGAGACTATTGCATGGCTGGGTAGTCAAAGTCTTCCATTCGTTAGTAATTTCAGGTGGATTAGAACAGGTTTAGGCTTAGGGTGGCCGTTGGCCAGATTTGGATTTTACAGATATAATCCTAAATAGGACCTAGATTATTTAATACACTAGTAACCTCAACTTCTGTCACAATGTTTCATTGTGACTAATCAACACTCAATGGGTAAAATATCAAATTTGCGGTAAATTTGAAAAAAGGGAACTTGGAGTGTAGAGCGCACTGCCTACTAGACGATTCTGAAGCCTGACCACGTGAGTGGGTTACGGGTTTATTTGATTGTACGTCATTGCCAAGTTATATATAGATACATTCATACCATTGGCATTTTGTATTTGAGATGAGACAGAGACAGGATGCGGAGGGCCCGCTTAGGGGGGGCTTCCATTTATTAAATAGTTCAGATAGGCTGGAAATGATAGGTTCATGGTGAGAAAATGTACCAAATGATGCCCGTTCACTGATCAAAATTAGATTCAAATCGTCAGGCCCTGCCCTGGAATAAGGAGATTGACGATGATTTGTCAAGTTTCATTTTGCATTTGCATATTGTAACGAGTACCATATTTCTGAATTCAATTTTCATCAATATTTGTTAGGAACATGAATTTAAAATAAATCTCATAAATAATCACCGCAGTCGTTGAGTGAATTCTATTAGTAGGTAATGAATTCGAGAGTGAAGTAGATATCCACCACTTGGCATAATGAAATTGTAAATGAGTTATAGTTCAGTAGTGAGAGCCGGGGTGGTATTCATATCCAATTGCAGGCGGTAGGTTGCTCGATCGTCGTTTAGCGCGTACGTACATCGACTCGGTACAGATCCTTTGATGATTTGTTAACCTTTCTCGAATTTCTCTCCTATCCCTGAATTTTGAGCCGAGCAGCGAATTGGATGATTGGAGTTGTTTGTTAGAGCATCCCCCGCCGATAGCGGGGGATGCAATTGATGAGAGCATGAGAACAATTTTCGTTGTATCACGAATATCTAACTTGGTTAGATTTACGTGATTTCCGGTGCCGAAGATTACGATAATGCGTTTAATCTGAGGATCCCCAAGAATCTATCGATCACTTTGGACTGATCAGTGGAAGAGGCAGGAGTGGTCCACCCGTAATCTCGCGCCGTGGTGTGTTAAGTAAGGTAGAAGTGACATGAGGTTCTTTCTAACTAGTGAAACTTAAGAATCCTTTCCCATTAGTTATTTCGATAGGCATTATTCGTTCCGTGTGTGAAGCGTGTGTAGTGATTTTGGAGAAAGAAGGTAAAACTGGTGACAATTTCTGGTTTGTGCGATAGAGGCTTAACACGTGCACACTTAGAAATTATTATTTTTACACGAGACGTAATCCAGCTTTGACGTAAATCATGGAACGTAAACAAACATGGCATGTAAAATTAAGTGTCCTGAAACTGAAACATATGCAACTCGACGAAAAGTGCGTTTGATTGAATTGAATTTCCCGTCCTTTTCAACTGATTCTTATGTCAAAAGGGCCGCTTGCATGTGTCGGTCTTAGGGCACTGAAATTTACATGTCTGTTTCGTAGTGTGTGCTTGTGCAACGGTTTTTCTTTATACAGATTCATGGCGAAGGTTGTGCACGCCCGACACACCACTCATTCAGCTAGTGACCATTTCTGGCCCCACCATCGGTTTCGAAGGTAACCCGGGGTACGCCGGAGGAGGGCCGCGACCGTTAGAAACGCGCCCTAGGCAGGGCGAAACGGCCACATTAGTAACAAAACCCGCGATCATCTTTTTGGGGACGACCAAAGCGCGATCAGCCATGTGTCGACGCTAAGTAGCATCGGAAGTTTCTAAACCAACCAACGCGTTCATCTGCAGCATTTTCCACCTGTATCCGTGAAGGAAAGACACCGGGTGATTCACCGCCAACCCCTCCGTTCATCCGCCGCATCACCGTCATCTGTACTGCAGCATAAATGGTCCGTGAGTGCTGAATGAATCCCTTGTGAAATGTTTCGTCCATGCACATGTTGACTTGAAACTTGAGAGCCCGCAACCGTAGCACTTTTCCGGTCTTGCGAGGCGTACACATTCTAACCGTTTGCACGTGAACCCAAATGAGAGTCGTTTGAACACGCACAGGAGCGAGATGGAAAAAGACAGGTGGGCAGGAACTCACGGTCTCCCAGTGTTGGTGAGTTCTTTGCCGTTAATGTTGACGAAAAGTTCACTATTTTTGCCATACAGAAATTCAAAACAAAATTTATTTTGGGCGAATTTGGACGGTTTTTGACCTGTTTCATGTGACCGGAAGGTGTACGCTGGTCACAAATGCCGTGCCAAACTGATTTTCTTCGCAATTAATCAATCTTTGATGTAAATTTCGCTAATAAACACGAGGAGCATTTCTTATAGCAAACTTGCCATAGCAAAATGAGCATGGTTCATTTTAGTAAACAAACTAACACTTCTTCCGACTGTGGCACCTATGTATTAGGCGCCGAAGGCGCCGAGAGCTGCGGTGCTGTTTCGATGGAGGAGTGCGGAGCTTTGCTGCTTCTGTATACACACTTTGATTTTTTACAGGGGTTAGTATTTTTACTGGATTTTTGGATAGCTGACTCGGTTAAAATTCGAATGACTGTTAATCGTAAAGATTGGATAAAATCGTTTTTTTTTTTTTTATTTTTCATCATTACACGGGGTTAACAGAAGTTAGTCTGTAAATTTTGGTAACACATTTCTCAACTTTGAATTTTTCACAGATTTTTTAAATTTTACCGAAGAGTTCCGCAATTCAAAAACTCGGTAAAAATTACTGACTCGATAAGTGTGTACTGATGTATGGTTGGCGAAGAGGCTAGCATGTGGAGGGTATTCTCGGGCTAGTGAATGCCACCCATCCCCACTTATAATTCAGTAATACACTATTTATTCATTTCTGTTTGATATGTTTACAAAGTTTGCAAACAGAAATGAGCATTGCAGTGTAGTTACCAATTTTCCAAGTCATGGACTTCAGATAACTGTTCAAAGTCCCAGATTTTTTATAATGGAATCATGATCAAAAAACCAAAGACCACTATGACAAACGTGATCGTGAATTTCGAGTTTTCTAGGGAGTTGATCTCGGGCACTATTGTGATTTGAGGCACTAAATTGTCATCACAGTTTTGTTATTGTATGTTTTCCGGTAGCAGATAATGGACTCCTGGAAAAAGCGAAGTGGAACCAGAGCCCGAGGTTCTGAATCGTATCACCTTAAAACAATTTCTATGTAAAGATCCCTTCAGACCGATCACGTTTGTCATAGTGGTCTTTGGTTTTTTGTTCATGATTCCGTTAAAAAAAATCTGGGACTTTGAACAGTTATTTGAAGTCTATGACTTGGAAAATTGGTAACTACACTGCAATGCTCATTTCTGTTTGTCAAACTTTGTAAACATATCAAACAGAAATGAATAAATAGTGTATTACTGAATTATAAGTAATGTATGTTAATTAACTTTAATCGAGTTCTTTTCTAGAAAACATTGATAGCTAATACTTTAATCTTTCATTTGGTATGTTGAAATCAGAAAACTACATTAAGATTAAAAAAATATAGCTAACATAAAATGTTGAATAACTCACTTAGCAGTCATTTCCGACCCTATGTTTCATGGGGATTTTTTCATAACTTCAGAAGCCCTATCTACCCAGAAAATATGTAAAACCCGGAACCAAACACCCTGTATATGCAGGTCTTATAACAGGTCATTGTCCGAGCCGTTATCGCTTGAAATTGATTGGAAAACTTCAAGATGACGAATGTCGCTTATGTGGCATAGAAAAGGAAGATTTGCTATGCCACTGTCCGGAAATTTTCAATTAAAGACGTAAGTTCTTCGACAAGGGGCTCATAGAATCCTTTGACATTTGGAGAACAGCTCCCAGTACGGCAGTGCACTTTATTCGAAGTATAATGCCGTGCTGGGATAATGCTATTAGTAAAACGGTGGCGATCACTCCTAATTATAGTGATACGGCATCTTGATATAGCTAAAGAAAAAAAAAATGGGGAATAGGGTAGAGAACTACTTCGGCCTAATCGCCTAATTTGGGCCTATCGAGCAGAAAACTTCAAATAAATCCATGATTTCAGAGTTAACAAGTCAATTATGCGTTTGATACGATACTTTAGTTAATAAGCTACCAAACGAAGTCAATGAAAACGCTTGATATGAAGGTTTGCACCCATTATTCGCAAAAACAAAAGAAGCGCTCTGACCGAATCAATTTTTATCTTCATCCGATAGGCCGAAGTGAATTCATTGGCGTTTCAATGGCATTTCAATGCGTTAGGCCGAGTTTAGAATCCGTAGGCCGAGTTTGGCGTCAAGAAGCAGTGTTAGACTTTTGACAATATCTCAACAATTGGTTTCTCTTTATCAAATCTTTTTTACGTACCGGAAAGATAAATAAATTTGGAAGCCATCAGTAATAATAACATTCCGTTTGGTGCTAAACTGCGCTAGATTAAGAAAGATTAAGTGCGGGTTGTGCTTAATAGGCCGGAAATGGGGTAGTAAACCCTATATCACAATAGATCAGAAAAATGGTCACAGTGATGAAAATACCCGACAAGGAAAAAAAATTATGGAAAATCGAAGAGTGAACTATTTTGTTAATACAGTATATTTGGCACAATGCAATAATTTTCTTACGCAAATACATTTTAAACTACAAAAGTAGCCCCATCATTTAACACGTTTGTCGTAACTCTTGACATTCTACGGAAGCAGCTACTCCACTGCACTCCACTTCACATTTCCGTGCAAATCAGTTTATCAATTGTGTCATCTAATTTAACGAGCACTCCAAAGATACCAACACAATTGCTGCTTTAATCTACACCGTTCCCGTTCTCCAATCTGTCAACATTCTGATGGTTCAATAAATAAGAGCCACTTTTTCCTAAGTCTAGCCATTTCAATTATTACCTATCCTCGCGCTGGCTGGCAGCAACAAAAGCCCAAAAGAGAAAAAGCTTTCCAATTTTCTTCGACAATCCGTCCTGATCCCTTGTCATACTTTTTATTTTTTTTCGATTTTCTCCTCCGTCGAGTTAGTGTTCGATCGGTGTGTGCCCATGTGTTTGCGCGTCAAGAACCCTTACTAATTGAGCGTTGAATTAAATCCTAGAAAAAGTCCTGTCGTGCTCTGTAATAAAAGAAGAAACCATGTCTCGTGTGCTGGAGAGTAGACCGTTCTGCATTCTCTTGCTGGCGCTGGTGGGGATATCATTGGCTGGAGCAGCATTCGAGAGCAATCTAATGTCCGTGGAGGAAGCCAGAACGCTAGCAGAGGAGCCGCCTTTCTCATCATCACGCATCGTTGGAGGATCTCCGGCCAGTCTCAACCAGTTCCCGCATCAGGTGGCTCTTCTGAGATCGGGTTCACTCACGTGCGGGGGATCACTGATCAGAGCCAAGTGGGTCCTTACGGCGGCACATTGTATCTTCAACGGAAATCAAGTGTAAGTGCCACCGGAGGGAACGAGCCAATCGAATCGTTTCAAGATTGACTTACGCGAGCGGAAAAGTTTCTACACTTTAGTGCTAAGATAGGACGGGGGTTGTTTGAAACCCATTCAACAGTGTTTCTGATCCACAGTGATATTTAAATTAAGTGTATTTTTTCTGGCACGTGGAACAATTTCACGAACGCTTATTCCAAATTATCAATTTGCATTTCAGAATTCCACCATCGTTGTTATCGGTACTTGCCGGGACGGTAAACCTTAGCCAAGGTGGCGTTCGACGAAACGTTCGCAGAATCATTCCCCACGAACGATATGGGAACTTCCGCAATGACATTGCCGTGTTGGAGTTGGAACAAGCTTTTCAGCTGAGTAGTTCCATTGCAACAATTGCACTTCGTAGGTCTACCGTTCCGAGTGGTAGCACGGTAACCATATCCGGTTGGGGCCGACTGTCCAATGGTGGTGCATTGCCAACGGTGCTCCAGTATAATCGAGCAACAGCTCTTGCCACACTTGCATGTGCGCTGGAAACGGGAATCAGCACTGGATTGATTTGCCTAAAGTCACCCGTTAATAATGGAGCTTGCAATGTTAGTTTCAACAGCTTGTGCGAGTTCTAGTTTAAAATAATGATTTAAACGATCTTCTACAGGGTGATTCCGGTGGTCCTGCGGTCTACAACAATGAGGTAGTTGGAGTTGCTAACTTTGTCGTCAATGGATGTGGATCGTCTCGCTCGGATGGCTATGCACAGGTGTCGGACTTTGTTCAATGGATTGAATCGAAAATTAATTGAGCGCTTAAACCAAAAGGTGACAGTTGATTTCGGTTTTTTTTGTTGTGTTGGAATGTATACGCTATTTTCACATGAATAATTGACTACGAAGTATACCTTTTAGATTTTAAGGAGATTCAATTTTTAAAATTCAATTTTTGTATGCATTGAAAATTATGGAAGTAAGTCATTTGGCCAAATACAATTGGGTTGATTTCCACAAAGGGTAAGTGTGAAATTTTTTGGCCTAAGTAGTCTTCATACTGGCTCTATCTTAAATGTCACATTGATTAATTCTTTACTACATTTATTTCGATACATGGTTCGATTACCTATTGTACCATATATAATCGCAAATAAAACTATTCAAAAATATTTAAAAATCATTTTGGACTTGCTCTAGCCAAGAGCCAAATAATTAGATTTGATTGAAGTGATTTGTATAGGCGACTTCTCGGCTATCTCTATCACTGTCAGAATTCCATCGTAGATCTTCCTTTCCGGAATCCGATCTGCATCTTTGACAATCTATGCTCACTTCGTCAGCCTTATTGTATAGAGCCTCTTCTTCTCCTTCTTCTTCTTCTTCTTCTTCTTCTTCTTCTTCTTCTTCTTCGCCTTTGAAACTTATTGCTTATCGCATAGTAGTTCATTGCGTGCCCTCAACTTAGTGTTCTAGATGCATATCCACCACAGACAAACAGACATAACTCATTGAATGTTTCTCACTATAAAACATCGTCGATAAATCATTACCGCCATCTGTTGAGTACAATGTGGTGGGCAGTACGCTGAACAGATGGCGGTAGTATGTAAACGTCAAACGCGTGGCACAATTGACGGTACTACCAACTACGATGCTTTTAAATTGACCGTTAAATGCTTGTTCGTCGAAAAAATTCCGAGTGTTGTATCTGTTTGTCTTTCCTCAGGCAGTTATTAATTGAGAGTTTTCGATGCCTGGACCATTTTTGCATTAGTATAATTGTGTGGCAAGTGTATGTGAGTCATCCTCTATCCCTCCCCAGCCAGGGGCGTTGGACTGGTAGAACTGCGAATAAACTCACTGTTGAAGGCATGGCTTTTCACGGACTGAGCCAGATAAACCTTGTTCCCAATTTCCAGTCTCGTTTTCTTGACTTGGTTTTTGTTAGCCAAAATGCACTTCTGGACTGTGTCGTCGTTGAAGCGCCTGATGTCATCGTTCCTCTTGACAATTTCCACCCTGCTTTGGATATATCTATCGCGAACGGATCTCAAATTCGTTTTGATGAAACCATGACTGCCACTCGGCTCAATTTCCGGAAGACCGATTTCCGTTTGCTGAGACGTTCCTTGTCCCTGATCAACTGGAACGTGTTGAATGACCTTGATATCGATACAGCAGCCGCTCGATATAATAGCCTTTTGCGCGACTGTGTTTGTGCTTCAGTACCGAAGTGCCAACCTCCAAGAAAACCGCCTTGGTATAACGCTACTCTCCGCAACCTGAAACGAGTGCGATCTAGAGCTCTCCGTGCTCTCACTAATCGACGATGTACCCTTACCAAGCGAAATTTTTCAATTGCCAGCAATGATTATCGCCACTACAACAAGCTTCTTTACAAGAGGTATGTAATTCGTACTCAACATAATCTGCAATGCCACCCCAAGGGATTCTGGTCGTTTGTGAATACTAAGAGGAAGGAAACTGGACTGGCGTCAAAAATGTTTCTCGGCAATGACGTAGCATTGACAACTGAGGACAAATGCAGCCTATTTGCTAGGCACTTCTTAAGCGTCTTCTCGAATGACTCCCCATCGCAAGCAGAAATTGAGCGAGCCGTCCGTGATGTGCCAACCGACGTCGTAAACATGGATGTTTTTGCCGTAGATGTACAAATGGTTCTCTCTGTGATGAGTAAAACCAAATCATCATTTTCACCAGGTCCGAGTGTTATTCCATCTGCAGTCCTAAAAAAAATGCTCCGATATCTTAGCTGCTCCGTTGTCCTTGCTCTTCAACCTGTCACTTCGTCAACAGAAATTTCCCGCACTATGAAAACGGTCTACTATGTTCCCTGTTTTCAAGAAAGTAGACAAACGCAATGTGGAAAACTACCGTGGGATTACCTCGCTTGGGGTTGAATCTAAGGTGTTTGAGTCGCTGATAAATGAGAGATTGTTTGCTTCCTGCAAGCATCACATAAGTACATGTTAACATGGTTTCTTTCCTGGCCACTCCGTGGAAACTAATCTCGTCAGCTTTACGTCGTTCTGTATGGAAAATGTATGCAAGAAACTTCAAGTGGATGCCATCTACACTGATCTTAAAGCTGCGTTTGATAGAGTTGTGCACGACGTTCTGCTAGCAAAGCTTGAAAAAATTGGATGTTCTGTTTCCTTCTGCAGCTGGCTTAGATCGTACCTTGTGCAACGTGAAGTTACTGTATGCATTGAAAACTACTCATCGTACTGTTTCTCGAACAGATCAGGAGTTCTACAGGGTAGCACTTTGGGACCAATGCTCTTCTCTTTATTTGTGAACGATGTAACGTTTATTCTACTACGAGGAGGTAAATTGTTTTTTGCCGATGACTTGAAGATTTATCTAGTCGTTCGAGGCTATGCCGACTACAAAACCTTCTTGAAATCTTTAATGATTGGTGTGAACGTAATTTTATGGTCCTGTGCGCCTCAAAGTGCTGCGTAATTAGTTTCCGTCGAACTAGGATTGCCATTTTGTTTGATTATAACGTTGCTGGAACTGCAGTTCAACGTGTCGATCACGTTAAAGACCTCGCTGTCATGTTGGATAAAAAGCTCACATACACTCGCCACTTCTCAACCATGATCGACAAAGCAAATCGACAGCTTGGATTCATGTTCAAGATATCTAAGGAATTTCGTGATCCTCTGTGTATTAAAGCCCTTTACTGTTCATTGGTACGCTCACTACTGGAATTCGCGAGTGTAGTTTGGAATCCCTACCAAGCTGTATGGAGTGGACGATTCGAAGCTGTTCAACGCAAATTCGTCAGATACGCACTGCACTATCTTCCATGGAGTGACCCGCTGAATTTACCACCGTATGCTGACCGCTGTCGTTTACTGGGTTTGGATACTCTTGCTAAGCGACGAAACATATCGCAGGTCGTCTTCGTTGCTAAAGTTTTACTCGCTGAATATGATGTTCCTGAGTTACTGGCCAAAATTAATCTGTATGCTCCTGCCCGAACACTCCGTCCGAGAACCTTGCTACATGAAGTAGTACATACAACCAACTATGCTGCAAACAGTTCCTTTGTCGCCATGATTCATCAATTCAACGAAGCCTCTGACCTATTTGACTTTGACATCAATGCCTCGATGTTTCGTCATCGTTTGCTGTTGGCCAATTTTTATTTTTTAATGAGTGACTACATTTGGATTTAAGTGTTTCATTGAGACTATCAAGTCAGATGGACTATAATAATAATAAATAAATAAATAATAAAACACTTTTACATGCCCCCTTTCTTGCTCACAGATTGTGAACAAATACAGCCATTATAATTTTTTCACCCTGCTTCTCATTAAATTTACGCCTCCTTTCTCCCGTCTAGAACCCACCAAAACCCACCATCAGTCAACAAAACCGTCCACTTTGCACTGTAAAACAAACTGCCATTACTCCTTTTCAACCTTCAGATATCACATCGTTCGCCATACCAAATTCCACCAAAAATAAATCTTCCCTTTCCAGACGGACATTCTCCATGTCAGACCTCTATAAGCACAACCAATCCACATCCAATTCCAAGGCATAAAATCACTCCAATAACCAAAGCACATCAAATTACCACGAACCGACAGCGAAGTAAAATGCATGCGACTCGAACTGCGTCTTGCAGTTAACTCTAGTATAATTGTGTGGCAAATACAATCATACTCTATGCCCAGGGAAGTCGAGAAATTTTCCGACCGGGAACCAAACGTAGCCACCCCCAGCAGGTCTTGCTTTGTAGCCGTGCCTTTACCGACTGAGCTAAGGGAGGCCAAAAGAGCCTATACTGCGAATACACTTGTATGACAAACTATGCACATGAGTATTATTTGTAAACCAAATTATGAGCACATCCATGGTAACACTTGTATAGTTTTAGTGTGTGCTCATAATTTACTATACAAATAATACTTATCATACAAATAATGTTTGTCATACAAGTGTATCTGCGACATTACTTTATGTATCTGTGTGTTATTTGATCAGTGATAAAGTTAAGTTCATATAGTCAATCAATACAGAAGTGTACTTTTTTTTATCTCATGCCAAACACAACATGGCGCAGCCGGTAATCATCAAGTGATGCCAATCAAGAAAAAGTTAGGGTCGCTGGATAAACCAGACCTTCGGATTACACTAAAACAGAAGAAACCACGGCGGAAAACTCATTCGAAAGAGTGAATAAAGCAGCAGCAAGTTCGGATTCCAACTTTGAGATTTCGTTGATCTATTGCCGGAGTCGTCTCAAGAGGAACCCGTAAGGATTGAACGTTACAAACATTGGATTTATAAGGGAATGGGGCTGATCACTGGAAAAAAGTTTAAACAACTGTTGGAGTTTTCATAACGGCGATCGGATACGATACTAGATCCCACGGTATACATAACAAGGCAGGCTACTCTGCCTTCCTTCAGATAACAACTTGAGTGCGGGAAAAATCGATAGAATTGTTTCAAACACATCGTCGGTATATGAGCGTGTCGGTGATCATATTTTGACGAAGGACTACGTCTGTGATTTCGATAGGGGGTACACTTTGTGAATTCGAAAATGGAACATGTAACGAAATTATGAAAGATTTTGAACGTTAATAACTCAGCTGCCCCTGGACTGGCGGTCCTTGACGTTCGGCGCGAGGATCTGTAAACCAACTACCGTTGGTGTACCCGGGGGGAGTGTTAGCTGTTACAAACAGCACGCGCCCTTTACGATCATCACGAGCAGCTTGTCGACCCGATACCACCCCTGGAATCCCGATGAGTGTTGGTGGTAACCCTGCAGGGAAGTGACAATTTTTTCAAGTTCATGATTTAAAAAGGCATTGCTTGGGTTCATGTACAGGTTTTCTTTCTCACACAGAAATATTGGAACATTTTCGAAGCTCCAGAGTGTTGTAAATTCTACATAGAGCTGGAATTTGGGCGTAACAGCCTTTGTAAACTCAAGGCGCGCCTACACAAACCAACATAACCTTTGGGTAGGGGAAGTCTTTCCCTACCCGATGGTGTGTGGTTGATTTGCGTTGGGGAGCCTTACCTTTCTAGAAATCATCGAAACCTGAGCAGGAACCGATAGCTAATCGATAACAAATGAATATCTTAATGTGGTATGATACCAGATTTTGGAAAGCTTGTGGTATAAAACCTTGTTTTGATATTATTCAGTTATCGACATATTTTGTAAAATATCAAATGAATACCAAAATAACAAAATGTGATCTTTCAGCTTTTTAGGTATAACACCTAAAAGAGTTATTGAATTGGTATAGAAGACCTTCAAAATAACAAACTATGGTATTCTGGCATCTTAAAAAGCGTCTGTTATCCTTTTGTTATTGTAGTAACTTAATTATTTATTAGTTCGTTATTCGTAGAATATTTTTGAGGTATTATTTTTGGCATTTTACCTCTTATGTCAGCCTCACTAATACCACATTTAGGTTGCCAGTTATGCTATTTTCATACCTGAATGTGGTATTAATAAGTTATTTTTTCCTGCTCGGGAAGTAGTCATTGTTTACAAAAGCTGTTACGCCCTAATTCCAGCTCTATCTAGAACTGTTCCAATGAATACTCTAATTTTCATTTTTTACTAATAACCCATTCGGCCTAATGACCATTGGCCTAATGGAATTCAGCCTATTGGTCCTACACCCTTCAAAGAACACCTAGTAGAGAGCAGGCATAAGCTTGTGGCAGAGCGTCAAACGCCAGAAAGTAGTAGCCGACAAGAAGAATGTTTCGATATCCGGCATTCGTCCACGCGTGTCCGGAACGTTCTACTTCCGAACCAGTTTACTCCATTTGTGGTGAAATGATTATTTTATTTCCTACTCTCTTGACTCCTACACTATACAGTAGGTACAACGATCCAAACCCGGCTTTGGATGGAAAGCGGGGGGCCATGTATGCCGGTTCAATTTGCTCTCGTTAGGATGATTGTCCTTGCACGGTTTGTATTGGGGTTTTTTTCTTCGGTGTCCAAGAAGGACAAAGGTCATTCGAAAGCCATATGAAATAAAATAAAACAGCGCATACGCCAATTTCACGCTCGTACGATTTTTCTCCTTCACTGGTCAAGAATGATGATTTGAGTCGGCTGCTTTTGGATCATTACGTCATGGAGGGGATACGTTTGTAATGGAAGAAAAATTGTCTTGGACATTTGGTCTCCGAGTTGCTCCGCCATTGGAGATGTTTTATGTGATTTATTGATTTTAA